AGCTTACCCGCTCACGCTAGTCACGATAAAAATCATACACGTGTACTCTTGAATAGACGTCAATGACTACGGTAAAACTTAGACTCTATTTTAGCCGACAGGAATGATTGAAATGTCCAAAAAATGACGCCAAAATACACCTTAAAAGTCCCATTTTATTTTTTTAATCCAAGGGTGAATTTACGGCAGAATCTGGTCCCTCAAATAAGGGACACGTGAGCTTTGATTCTAACCGGATACATTGCACTGGGTCGGGGAGTTTGCTAAACTTCCATGTATCCTGTACTTCGAACATTCGCAAGTTTTCCTAGGTAGTGCGAGACAGCTTTGTTTTTTGACCTAATTTTGTGCTGACCTCTCCTCCGCGTCTTGATGTTTTGTTTTCCTTGTCATAATACTCACTGATTGATGACTTTGTTTTGATTTTGAGTTGTTTGGCGTACAACTCGGCCACGACCTTTGCTTTTACCGTGAAACATGGGAAAGTTTACGTCAATTGACGGACATTGCATTTTTTTAAAAACTAACGAAGCACACTGTCTATCATCCCCATTTTTTCATTTGCTGATTTCTATTCTGAAAAATTCGACCGTCCGAAAATGCACCCTAATTTTGACTCTAAAAACACGCCACATTTCCACCACTAATTATTTAAAACTGGTCTAAATTTTGGAGTTTTTACGGTAAGTTGAATTTTACTTGCATTTTATAAAAATTCAACGAATTTATTTTTCGTGCGTTATTGTAATCACTACTAAATAATAATCACCAATATCAACACTTTGAAAACAAGTAAGTTATTCACTTGTGACCCGCAGCATGGCCGGATCGAGCTACCGTTATGTGATCATTTGCTACTAAGCAGTGCATTCGTGTTTTTATTTGAAACTTCTGTTAGAATATACTTTTCGTTACCAAGAAAATTAAAAAAATAAATGCATATTACATTAAAAACACTGAGTATTTTTTGTATCATGTGGAATTTTTTTTTGATTGACTGTAATTTTTCAACATTTCGTAACTCCTATTTTAGAACCAAAATAAGGCCTTTCACTCTTCCCCGACGCCTATTCAAGAGATTGTACGGTGTATTGTTTGTTTTGTGCATGTGTTGTAGACAAAAAATGACCACGCCCATTTAGTGATTGCAATATGTACGTAATAGAAACCGCACCCCGAACTTGAGCTTTTGATCCCAATTTTTAAATTCATACATTGTAATATAAACCGTGGTTTATAATAGGACTTTAACGGTACCAAGATTCGTTACGCGAGACCAAGTTTTAAATTAGTTGCATTTTGAAAGGGTGGGCGCTTTGCCGAATGTGACCCCGAATATAAAAATTGCGCAAAAGTGGGGGATGGGCGCTTGCCTAGGCATGGGCGCTAACTCGGTCGAGTACGTATTTGGTCAGAGAAATCATGTTGTGCCTAAAAAATATATATCATGCGTTTTCTTTTCTTGGCAGATTAATTCGGAAATTGAAGATTTTGGTATTGTGGCCAAGGATGTTGTTTTAACAAGAAAAATGAAAGGAAAGAAAGCAACAGGTGAGCTATGTAGCTTGTATTATTGCTGGTTTTAGTGATAACTGTGTTTTCAAAAACCATCCTTGAATATGACTGAGACTGGACTTCACCACTAACTACTTCATAGTCGTCATCAATGTTTTTTAAAACGTGATGCCCATCTTGCTGTTCAGTTACAATTTATTGCATGCATGTACTGGTAGAAATGAATTATTTGTGTGTGTTTTGCATTACTAATTAGTAGTTTTATAACTTGTTGAAAGGTAAAGGTATTCAAAGTATGTATTCCAAAATGTTTCCACTTGTGTTTTTTTTAGTTGGATCTGTAAGGTTTTATCCATAACGTGACACACTTAACACAAATTCGTACTTGTATGTGTGCATTTCATTTTTCAAATACAATAGAAAAATTGACTCAATTGATGGGTGTTAGCTAAATAAATTCATGTTTTGTGTTAAATTATTTGAGGTAAGTATTATTGCTGCACATCAACCTTATAAATTACATGTAAGCTTTGTGAGTGGTGGTGAGTCCAGTGTTCAAGGATGGGGGTATTAATGTTCGATGAGCTTTTCTTAATTACTGCCCTGCAACATGTTTCTAACACAATCAATGCTCATCATCTTTAGGTGCTTCCCGTGGTTTTGCTTTTGTGGAGTTTCAAAACCTATCGGACGCCACTCAGTGGATGGAACAGAACAAGGTTTCAGAGTTTTTCCAACATTTTGATACTGTGTGTTTGATCAAATACATCAGCACCAGACAGTGCGTTCTCGGGGAGCGACTGACTGGAAGCTGGCCGTGTATGCAGTAGGTTATATTACCTGATGACGAAAACGGAACAAAGATCAGCTTTGTTGATGTTCGATGTTTTTCTTCATTTCATACTTCATATTATATTTTCCTATTTATGATAATTTCAACTTTTCAAAAGCACATACTTTGAACAAATTAAGAAGAGACATGTATTTTCAATGATTTTATGGAAGAAAAGTGTTGCGATTTAGGGGGGGTAATACGATACTTTCAAGGTCAGCCAGCTGAATTTTACACAATACAATTGTAGCTAGCTAGCTGTAGAGTTGAGTAAGGGCTCTCTTACAGATGTGGATTCTGGAAGATATTGCCTGATCTACAAGTAGGAAGAACATCTTCTTGAAGCTCTCCTGGACCGATTGGGGAATGTATGGACTATTTGGGCATTTAGGAAATAGTTCCATTTGGTGCCTGTGATAAAAAGGGTTTTTTAGCACACCATTCCTATGATATTAATTCAGTATATTCATTCGCAGGGTCGCATTAAACTTGATGGTCAGTATGTATATATGAGTTACAGCCAACCTAAACCACAGAAAGAACAAGATTGGACTTGTTCAAAGGTAAGAATTTTTCTACTTGTGTTTTGATATTCATATTGTCAAGTCATATGTTTGGAAATGAGTTGATGGGAATGGTTTTATTTCAAATGTATTCAGCGAGTTGATTATTTTCATACTTCCAGTGTGGTGCCTATAACTTTAAGAGGAGAGATCACTGTTTTAAATGCAGTATATCAAGAGAAGGTATGTCCAGAAAACCTCAAAATGTTGGTTGATTGCTCAGTTTATTTTGTACAATTGTTGCAAAAGTTAGGGGAACTTGTAGTTGTACTTGTGAATTATCTAGATTTAGCATTTCAGATTAATGTCACTAGTACTGTGAATTGTATCTTGTACACCTGTCTTTGTTTGCTCAAATGGATTGTATTGTTTTCAGAATCATGCCAGTACATCAAAGATAACTATGATGGATGTGAAGAAGTTGGTACAGATCCTTATCAAAGTAAGCATGGTTTGGAATGTTTAGTTTACCATTTGCTCATCATTTACATTCTCTCTACTTTTACTATCCTACATTCTTTCAATTTGAGTCATTTGCATCAGAATTATAATGAAATGTGTAGTTCATAATCTGTTCAGTTTGCTGACAAGTAAAAATGGGATTGTTGTTGTCAAAATCTAAAAATTAAATGTTATAATATAACCACTTTGTTTTTATGCTGTTTGTTTGTCTAGCATTACTGGTGAGAGGACTGGACATACTCACAACAGAAGACAAAATAGGCACAGTATTGGGTGCTCTCACTACTATACCTATCAAGGATATCAGAGTAGCTAGAGATCCATTGACAAATACTTCGCGGGGATTTTGTTACGTGGACTTTATCACAGTTCAGAAAAGCACTGAGATGTTGCAAGTAATCAATGCAATGCAGACACCACTGTCTATAGATGGAAGGGAAGGTAATCTATATTCAATCAGTTAGATGGTTCATGTGTTCTCTCTACTGTCTTGGAAGACTTAACAAATGAAGCTATTGAACTCATTTTATGTTGATGTTGATTCTCCTTACAGCATGCCAACAATGCTTTGATAACAGATGTCATGTGTGTTGCTTTGATTAACTCGTATGTGGGCATTAACATTTAAAAGGATCTTTAGTTAAATTGTTCTGTTTACTTGTTGCATATCTGCATCAAAACAGGTTATGCTTTAATATAAGAAAAAATATTGTTAACGCCAGTGCAATGGCATATTTGATACCCATAGGCTTTTTCAAATATCATTGTTTTTACCCATTCACATTGCATGCATGCTAAATAAATATTTAATTTGCAGTTTCAGTGAGCTATGCAAAAGACCACAGTAAGCCAGTTCCCAGCTTGATTGATAGTGCTGCCAATACAGCAATAGCAGCAGCACAGTGGTCAGCTGTAAGTTTTATGAAGTCATCCATTATTTTTGACTCCCATGTGCGAAGCACAAAATGGGAGTCTTTGCAGTTAGTGTGTCTGTATGTGTGTATGTGTGTATGTGTGTGTGTATGTGTGTCCGACTGTTCCACTGCTATCTCAAGAACCATACATCGGTTTTTGATGAAACTTGGTGCATAGATGCTCTGGGCCAATGCGCAGATTTGATTAGGTTTTGGTAAAAATCCATGCTCGTTAATTACCTAATTTGCATGATAATTAGCTATTTTTTAGCTGTTCTATGACTGTTCCACTGATATCTAAAGAACCACTCATTGGATTTTGATGAAACTTGGTACATAGATGCTCTGAACATATGCGCAGATTTGATTAATTTTTGGTAAAAATCCGTGCATATTAATTACCTAATTTGCATGATAATTAGCTATTTTTTAGTGGTTCCATGACTGTTCCACTGATATCTAAACAACCACTCATTGGATTTTGATGAAACTTTGGTACATAGATGCTCTGAACTAATGCTAGGTTTTGATTAGTTTTTGGTAATAATCCGTGGATACTAATTACCTAATTTGCATAATGATTAGTCAATTTTCGGTTTTTCCACTGATATCTCAAGTACTAATCATCACATTTCAATAAAACTTGGTACATAGATGTCATACGACACTGCACAGACCTGATAGTTTTTATGGTAATATCAGTACATATTAATTACCTAATTTGCATAATTAATTAATTTTCAGCATTTGATATAAGTAGTTAGCATTACATTTCAATGAAACTTGGTACTTACATACTCAAGGACTATGCAGAGATTGATTGTTTTCGATAAATATTTGTGCATATTAATCACCTAATTTGCATAATTAGTTAATTTTCAGCTTTTCCACGGGTATCTCAAGTACTAATCATCACATTTCAATGAAACTTGGTACATAGATCCTTTAGGACTATGCAGAGACCTGATTAGTTTTAGGGTAAATAATTGTGCATATTAATTACCTAATTTGCATAATTAATTTTCAGCTTTTCTACTGATATCTAAAGTACTAATCATCACATTTCAATGAATCTAGAATTATGCAGACCCAATTAGTTTCCGGTAAATATTTGTGCATATTAATCACCTAATTTGCATAATTAACCAACTTTCACACTGATATCTCAGGTACTATACATCACATATCAATGAATGTACATGGATGCTGTAGGACAATAGACAGACCTGAATAATTGTGGGTTAAAATCTGTACATATTAATTACCTAATTTGCATAATTAACCAATTTTAAGCTTTCACACTGATATCTAAAGTACCGTAAAAACTCCAAAATTTCGACCGGTTTTAAATAATTGGTGTTAGAAATGTGACGTGTTTTTAGAGTCAAAATTAAGGTGCATTTTCGGACGGTCGAATTTTTCAGAATAGAAATCAGCAAATGAAAAAATGGGGATGATAGACAGTGTGCTTCATTAGTTTTTAAAAAATGCAATGTCCGTCAATTGACGTAAACTTCCTCATGTTTCACGGTAAAAGCAAAGGTCGTGGCCGAGTTGTAACTCAAAATCATCAATCAGTGAGTATTATGAGTATTATGACAAGCAAAACAAAACATCAAGACGCGGAGAAGAGGTCAGCACAAAACTAATAGGTCAAAAGACAAAGCTGTCTCGCACTACCAAGGAAAACTTGCGAATGTTCGAAGTACAGGTACCCATTGAACAAAAGATACATGGAAGTTTAGCAAACTATCTCCCCGACCCAGTGCAATGTATCCGGTTAGAATCAAAGCTCACGTGTCCCTTATTTGAGGGACCAGATTCTGCCGTAAATTCGCCCTTGGATTAAAAAATAAAATGGGATTTAAGAAAATAAAATGGGACTTTTAAGGTGTATTTTGGCGTCATTTTTCGGACATTTCAATAATTCCTGACGGCTAAAAAAGTTTTACCGTAGTCATTGACGTCTATTCAAGAGTATGATTTTTATCGTGACTAGCGTGAACGGGTAAGCTTCGTTTCGACAATGAGCTGTTATCACTGTAAACAATGTTAAATTATTCGTCAAATGCCCAGTTTATTTTTTAAAAACAACTAATTTTTTGATTTAAAAAAAAATCATGCCGTTTTTGCATCAAAATCCAAACCAAAAGATCGTACTACAACATCAATCTCTTCTTGACTTTTATTTGTATTTCATAACAATTCAACGAATTTATTTTGTGTACATTATTATAATCACTACTATAATCAACAATTCAGAAACGCAGCATGACCGGATTTTGCAACCATGATCATTTGCTTCTATGTAGAAGATGTGTGTTGTGTTTCGTTTTCATTTGAAACTTCGTTTAATTTAAAATATACTTTCGTTACCATAAAATAAAATCTCTCAGTCATC